GCCCCTGCGCATGGAGAGAAACCCAGCCCCTGCGCATGGAGAGAAACCCAGCCTCCTCGCCGTAGCAGTTATTCTACGGCAACACCCGCACCTAAAACCTCCTTGTTCAGCATTAGACCACCCCAGGGACAGGTTACATTTTGATCAGTTTTAGAATGAATCTTCCTACTCTGTGGGATGCTAGGAAAATATTACATGAGGTATTCGTGGATGATACTTTTCTAAAATGCTTTGGAGAAATAATTAGAAGAAACTTCATTAAGCCAAACAAGTGTCTCACTAGAGTATTTGCTAGAATTCTATAGTGTTGGCTATGGCACGCCCTATAGATTCAAAACAGAAATGTCAACAGCTCTTCCAAAATCATTACAGCACAAGATCTCTTACTTTTCTCAGGGCTCGCCTGGTGGAACTTGATTTTATAAAATATTTTTTGTGAATGTTTGGTATTTGACATCATCATCATACATAGGGACCCAAAACAGTGCCAGTCACTTCCCCATGGTATACACAATGTCCCTCTGAGGTAGTACAAAGGCACGGATAGACAGAGGTGGCCACCAAGTCGTAGCACTTGCACAACACCTCTGATCTAGTCCATTATGTCAGAGGATGTGGGTAGGCGCGTGTCTAAATGTAAGTTTCCACAACCTAGGTCACTACCAAACTACCATGTTTGGTAAGATGCACAGAGAACATTGCACAGGCCTTCCAAATACGGCCCAGGAGCCAATTTTCTTCTGAGAAAAGTATAGGGCCAGCCCAGCAGCATTCAGTCTGTGTGTGCAAGCACCTGCAAGGCCATCATTTGAAGTGAGTTACTTGCACTAATTGGCTAGTAAGTCATTCTGATTGCATGTTAGAGCCGCAGCTAAATCCTGCCGGACTGTCATACATTTTCCACCCTAAAATGTCAACATTGTGGGTGAGCTGCCACAGCCAACACCACGGAAGCAATTGCAGTATGATATTTGGCTCTGGTGTCGCTACAGTTGTTCAGCGCTGGATCCAGTACTATAATCTAGAGCATGTTGATTTGGAGCAATGTGCATGATTATGTGGCTTAATTGCATGTTGTTAAGGAAGCTGCGACCTTTCCAGCCCCATCCTGGATGTGGCACTGTGCTTCTGGGAGGAGCAGGAGACAGATGTGTGGGGAGTATGACAGCCGTGGCGTTCTGTTGTGTAATTATTTGAGCGCATTTGGAAAGCCATGTGGACAATGCCTCAGATGTCAGTGGCCGTCTACCGCTTAAGAAAGCTGTGTAGGACTCATATCGCCTCAAGCAGCAATCCAGAAACATCACCAGCCACTTGCAAATGCATCCGTATGACATCAACGTGCACAAATCCCTCATTGTCTCCAGTTTGAGAAAGAAATACAATACAAAAAAATAAAAACATGCTGTGCTGGCCTACGAACCCATCAGTAAAAATACTAGTTTAAAAATGCCGTAACCCTTCCGTATTGCATCAAAATTTGAGAGTAATGCAAACCCTGCCATTTGTAAGATAGGTTACATTTTAAAACTACTTTGGGGCTCATTACAATGCTTCATTATAGTGAGAGAAAGCAGCGCAACAGAAGGCCAAGGGGTAGCACACCCCGCTTTTGTAGTTAGCAGCAAAGCCGCAACCCTGAGCGATTTGCTGCAGGAAATCAAGCCTGCTGGCCTGGGCTCCAGGCTTCTTCCCCTCCGGAGCACTACAAAGCCTAATGATGAGCCTGAAACACACATGAATTCTGCCTGGCAAGCCGGCTTGCTTCTCTACAGTACATGCAGCCAGACTCCAAAGAATAAAGTGAAGCAATTGGCACCCTGTGTTCCAAGGTACCTCAGGGCGAGGCTGGGCCTGCCTGCGCAGAGTGGAATGTTCCAGAAAGAAAGCAATCACTCAAACAACCCGGGCCTCCATGACTTGCACCTGAAAAGTCCCAGTAACTGAGCACAGGATAAGCTCGGAACCTGAGCAGGGGCGTGAGTGACGGAAGTGTCTCTGGCCTTCGAGGTGATTTCACCCACCCAGAAGATTGCCAAGTGTCCACATTCCCTGTTCCACAACGAATTACCTCCAAAGTGGCACCCTCTGGATCTGTGGCCGCTGCTCTGTAGACGACTGTGCCCGGAGCAGTGTCTTCTAGGACATAAATCTCAGTAGCTGCCAGAAAACATGTAGTAGATGTGCTTGAGTTTTCCACCATTAAACCCAAAAATCCCTCGTCATGAAGCTTCTAGTTTAATGACCTGCACACAATATTAAGTAATCTACAAAGAAGACAATAACTTTAGTACTCTGTAATCAAACAAATACATAGAGAATTTTCAACCCCGCACAAGTTGCTTCACTTTTCTGGGTCTGTTATCTATAAAATGATAACAGGTAGGGAGTCGAGCCTACCTTCAGCGCTGTGGATATTAAATAAAGGAATCTACTTAAAGCTCTTAGGGCAGTGGCCAATTCCTAGGCGGCGCCCCGCAACGAGTGCTTATTGCTGCTCTTGCCGCTAGGATTCTCCATGCAGCCATAAACACACAGAGGACGCAGCTCAGTGGCTAAAATATGCCCCCGCAGGCTTCCTCCTGCAATAGAACACCCAGTACCTTGGTCTCCCTGGGAAAGGGATCCAGTGAAGGTGGGGGCTTCATTCACGTCTGCAATCTGAATTAAAACGATCTGTGACGCTGTGGCCCCAAAGCTGTCCTTGGCGTAGATTACCAGGGAATATAACGCCACCTTCTCAAAGTCCAGCTTGGGTACTCCACCGGTGTATAACTAAATTTTAAAAAGAAAGCCAGAAGAGTAGAGCTAGTGACAGGCTTCCTAAGGACATATGGAATATGTTATATCTATAATCTCCATTACCAATTGATATTTTTGCTTTGTTTTTTGAAATAGTGTCTCAGTACACTGGTATTGAATTCCCACGCTCAATCAAGCCTCCCACTTCAGCCTCCTAAATAGCTGAGACAAGACACGGGTTACCATGCCCAGCTTCAGCCAATTTTTGTTTTTGTTGTTGTCTTTTTGAGACAGGATCTCACTGTGCAGTTTAGTCTGGCTTGAGCTCACGTTGTAGCCCAGGCTGGCCTTGAACTTGCAGTGGTCCTCCTGCCTCAGCCTCCCGAGTGCTGGGATTACAGGCATGGGCCATCACACCCAGTCAATATTTTCTTAAAAGCATAAAGGTCTTAGCCTCAGAATGAGGAAGCAAAGTGATCTGATCTGATTTATTTAAAACTCCCATGAGCCAAGAATGCACTTTTTGTCAATCAAATGGCCTCCCTTCCGTCCTTCCCACCGCCCCATGATTCATACCAGTAACAAAGTTCTTTTTTTATTTTATTTTATTTTTTTTTAATAGTAATTTTTTTTTAACATTTATTTATTGTGTGTGTGTGTGTGTGTGTGTGTGTGTGGCCAGCTCAGCCCACCAGGGGGCGCGGCTGGCTGGCATGTGGTGCTGGAGGATTGAACCGCGGTCCCTGTACTTTGCCAAGCTTGTTCCAAGTAGGTGCTTTAGACCACTGAGCCATCTCTCCAGCCCCTCTTTTTTTATTTTAAAGAAAAATTCTAAAAACAATCTAGAATATTAAAACAAGATAAGACACTAACAGTGGCTGTTACACTGTTATCTTCGAAGTAGTTATTCAGATTACCAGGCTCAGGCATGCAAAATTGAGCAAACAATTAAGCATTAACGGCTCCTTTCAATAAACCAAAGAAATTAGCAGTATAATTATCTTAGCATATATATATATAATATAATATATATATTTATCCTTTCCCCCATCCCATTTGTTCTTTCCTTTTAAGCAGTTTCTTTACCTTTCACAATATCTATTGTGCCTTTTGGGTTTTATTTACTCTTTCAGGCTCTTATACTAGGGAGACAATACGATGTTTACACACGCAGGTCTGATTTATTTCATTTACAAGTATGGTCTGTAGTTGCATCCATTTACTTAAGAATCTCAAGTTTATCTTCCTTTGTAGCTAAGTAATACTCCATTGTATAAAATATCACACCTTTTTTCTCCATTCCTCAGGTGAAGGCCATTGGGCTTGTTGCCAACATTTAGCTACGACAAACCAATTGTCCACTGGGCAGGTCTGCTAGGCTTCGTCTCCTCATGTTGCCAGGAGGACTTGCAACATCTCCATCTCCCCTTGACACTGTAAACTGCCGTGATGGATGCGGCTGATAGATGTGGCAGCCGGGATTTATAGGGCTTCAGCAGCTTGGCTAGGTTTCCTCAGAAAGGCAGTGGACCTGGGCTCCAGCTGGCTCCCTCTGGGTGTCCCCCAAGAGTTCCCTGTGTTTGGACGCCTATCGGGCCGTGGGGGTGCTGTGCTCCTTGGTGGATCAGCTCCCTGATGGTCTGTAGCTGACTCCCCAGGAGATAAGGCCTAGTTAGAGGCAGGTCCCTGGGCACGTCCCCAGAAAGGCGTGCTCTGACTCCTGGCTCCTCCTGCTCTCCGCTTCCTGGCTACCACAGTGCCAGTGCCCGTCCTCCCCGAACCCCCCGTCATGCCATCTCTTTTTGCAGCTCCCTGACTGTGGGCTGGGCCACTGAGACCGCAAGCCTCTCCTCCTCTAGGTCACGGTGTTGGGTGTTGTGTCCCAGTGACAATTCTCGGGCTCTCACGCGTGAACCTGAGCTGCCTCGCACCTCGACGGATGGGGAGGCGGGGTGCGCGCCCCTCGTCCAGCACCTGTCAGTCACCCACACGGCCCGCTGGCTTCCTTCTTGGCTTTCCACTGGCGCCTGAAGAGACCCCATGAGGCTGAGGGCCCCGAGAGTCGAGTTCACATCCCTGCTCTAGTGAAATGCCTGCAGGACTCTGGCTGGGGCCCTTCAGGGCTCCCAGCTGGCTTTGTTTATCCATACATGAAAGCCTTGAACACTTATCCCTAGTGTCCTCTCCATGCCTTGCATGGCATATGTGAGTAAAGGGATGCTTGTTTCTAAACATTCTTCCTTGTGAAATAACAGAAAACAAAGATTTCACTGAGCCACAGTGCTTGCTGGAAGGGGTTGGGTTCATCTTTGGGGGTCACATGCCATATCGTGAACCTCCTGTCCAAATAGTGACAGTAAAGCACTGCTGATAGCTTGAATGCATTGACATTAACTCTGAGCATTTAACATTAATTACATCATTTGGCTGTAAAATAGTGCAACTGATAATCTTAGTATACCTATCTTACAAGCAAAAATACAGAAGCCTAGAAAGCTCACCCATTAAGAAACAGGCAAGGAGGGCTGGCCTGATAGCTCAGCAGACTAAAGCACCTGCTCAGGCAGAGTGCAACAGCCGGGGTTCAATCCCCAGTGCCGTGCTAGCCCCACCCCCAGGGGCATGCTGAGACAGCGACTGAGACTGGGTGTGGTGGTGCGTGCCTCTAATCCCAGCACTTGGAAGGCTGAACACAGGAGAAGCACTATGAGTCCAATCTATGTAGTGAGACCCTATAGACCCTGTAGACCCTGTCCTAAATACAGAAGAAAAGAAAGAAGGAAAGGAAGGAAGGAAGAGAGAGAGAGAGAGAGAGAGAGAGAGAGAGAGAGAGAGAGAGAGAGAGAGAGAGAG